GACCGGAAGAAGGGTGGAGCAGCGGTGTAAAGAGGAGCAACCTAGGGACAATCCAGTACTCTTTGAAAAGGAATAAGCTGAGGGAAGGAAGTGCTGAAGGAACAATTTGGGAGTCACCTCTACCCAGGACAACGACAACAGAGGCATGTCAGTCAGAAGAGAAGTGAGATATTGATGAAGTAAGGGCGGAGTCGAAGTCACATGAGCTGACGACACAATGGGAGCTCAAAGGAAAAAAGGGTGGTGGCGGCTGGCCCTCAACAGCCGCAAGAGAGCCATGACACACCTAGTTTGGAACTGCCGTGGGCTAGGGTCGGACACGGTAGTTCGGGCTCTAATTGGGCTCATCCGGAAGCACAGGCCGACCATGATTTTTCTTGCTGAAACAAAGATGAGAGATAACAGAGTTGAGGGCGTCAGAAGGCGTATGGGGTATCAGAAGGGGTTTAACGTTTCTCCCATTGGGAGAGCTGGGGGTCTAAGTCTGTGGTGGGATGATTCGGTAGAGGTAACGATTGATTTTACTTCTAAACATATTATTGATGCTAATATTACTGTTGTGGATTCGGATCGACGGGCTCGGGTCACTTGGGTTTATGGCACTGCTTATCGGAGTGAAAAGTTAGATTTTTGGAGGGGGATGAAAGAACGGTTTAGACCGACCAATATTCCGTGGCTTTGCGGAGGAGATTTCAATGAGATACTTTGGGATTATGAGAAATCAGGAGGAGCAAGTCTGAACTATAATCGTCCAAGGTACCTGGAGGAATTCTTAAAGGGTACGGAACTTATGGATTTGGATTTTAATGGGCCTTGCTTTACTTGGAGAGGCATGAGAAATGGGCAACTTGTTGAGGAGCGGTTGGATAGGGGCCTGGCTAAAAGGCAGTGGCAAAACTGTTGGCCAAATACTATGGTCATCCATGAAACTGCTATCGGATCGGACCACAGCCCTATAATTATTCAATGCCAGCCTCGGGCCGTGAAAACGAAAAAACTCTTTCGTTTCGAAGCTTACTGGGCAAAAGAAGAGAGGTGTAAGGAAATTATGGATCGCTGTTGGGGGCATCAGTGCAGTGGAGACGGTATTATGAGATGGCAGAAAAAAATGAATGATTGTCGAGTAAAGTTAACCAAATGGAGCCAGCAGGAATTTAAAGCAAGAGGGCGAGAGCTTGACGGTCTTATCAATAGGCTGGGGGTACTTCAAAATAATTGGTGCAAAAATTGGGGGGAAATTAAGAGGGTTTCGGCGCGGATTGACAGATTGGGAGAGATTGAGGAGCAATTCTGGCAACAGCGATCGAGGGTGAAGTGGCTTAAGGAAGGTGATGCGAACACTGCCTTTTTCCATCAATCTACGCTTCAACGGAGAAGGAGAAACAAGCTTGTAAAGATTAAAGATGGGAACGGAGTTTGGATTGATAATCTGAGTGAGGTTTAGAAGTACATTGAAGATCATTTTAAAAACCTTTTCTCTACTTCGGGCTCTAGAGAGTGGGGAAGGACTTTGGATTGTCTTCAACTTAAGGTGAGTGATGAGATGAATTCCGGCTTGATTAAACCGGTTTCTTTGGAGGAAATCCAGACGGCAGCATTACAAATGGGAGGTTTGAAAGCTCCGGGCCCTGACGGGTTCCAGGGGATATTCTATCATTCATTCTGGAACTCCCTTATGGATGATGTGAATGGTATTGTTCAGGATTATATGCTGGAGGTCTCGGATCCACAACGGCTTAACTCGACACATATTGTGTTGGTTCCGAAGATCTCAAATCCGGACTCGGTCGGGCAATTCAGACCTATTAGCTTATGCAACTACTCCTACAAGATTGTCTCTAAAATTCTTGCGAATCGTCTCAAGCCCCTTCTATCGGAGATTATTTCCCCCACGCAAAGTGCTTTCGTGACGGGAAGACAAATTCAAGATAACATTGGGATTGCTCATGAGATGTTCCATTTCTTGAAGCTCAGAAAGGCTAAAAGCAAGTTTGAGATGGGAGTGAAGCTTGATATGCACAAGGCATATGATAGGGTTGAATGGGATTTCCTTGAGGCAGTCATGGAAAAGTTGGGTTTCTGTTCCCAATGGAGGAATCTGGTTATGGGTTGTGTTAAAACTGTGGAATTTGCTATTATTCTGAATGGACGGCCTGGGAAGCAGTTCATCCCAACTAGGGGAATTCGGCAGGGGGACCCTCTATCTCCGTACCTCTTCATCCTTGTTGGTGAGGTCTTGGATAAGCTTATTCAACAGGCGGTGGAAAGGAGGTTGTTTATGGGAATCCAACTGAACTATGGGTGCCCGATTATTTCTCACCTGTTCTTTGCGGACGATACTTTGATTTTTATGCGCGCTGATAAAAAAAATTGTGATAGTCTGAAGAAGATCTTAGCCGATTATTGTTCTGCTTCGGGGCAATTGGTGAATTATCAGAAGTCGTGTTTGTTCTTTGGGGCAAATGTGCCTAGAAGTATGTCAATTGAGCTTGGTCACTTCGTCGGTATACCATTGGCGGAGGAGCCGGGGAAGTACCTGGGTCTCCCTTCTTTCTGGGGTCGGTCAAAAAAGCAGGGGCTTGCTTTCGTGAGGGAGCGAATTCTTGCAAAAGTTCAGGGTTGGAAACAGTGCACCCTCTCACAAGCAGGAAAAGAAATAATGATTAAGGCAGTGATTCAAGCGATCCCTGCCTATCCCATGCATCTCTTTAAGTTCCCAACTACACTGTGTTCGGATTTTGATGCTTTAATTGCTGAGTTTTGGTGGGGAAAGAGTGGGGGGCAGAAGGGCATCCACTGGGTTTCTCGGGGTATCTTGGGGTACCCGAAGCAGGAGGGGGGTATGGGGTTCCGGAATTTTCAAGCGTTTAATGATGCATTGCTTGCCAAACAATGTTGGAGATTGATTCATGACCCAAACTCGCTATGGGCGCAGCTTATCAAGGCCCGGTACTTTCCTCACTGCTCGTTCCTGGATGCTTCTTTGGGGGGAAGAGCGTCTTGGGGTTGGTCCAGTCTATTGGTAGGGCGTGAGATTCTTCTGAGATGTGCTCATTGGCAGATTATGAATGGCAGAAGCATCAGATTGTGGCATGATAGGTGGGTGCCGTCTATCCCTGCGGGGAGACCTACGGCTGTTGGAGGTGTGAGAGTGTCTAGGAATATGCGGGTGAACACATTGATTAATGAAGTGTCCGGAACATGGAATGTTGAGGCCATTAGGCCTTTTATTTCTTTGGAGGACTTCGAGGCCATTCTGGATACGTCCATAGGTGATGGGCTTCGGGAGGATAGATTAATTTGGCCGGCTACCAGGAATGGGGTGTACTCGGTGAAATCTGGGTATCATTGGAAGCATGCTAACTCGAGTTCTATGATTGGCAGGCCTTCCGCTTCCTCATCTGTAATCCCAGACATTGTTTGGAAATGTATTTGGCACTTGAAGACCCCTCCGAAGGTTCGTAATTTTATGTGGAGGGCGTTGAGCCGTGCTTTGGCCACGATGGAGAATTTGTTCAAGCGCCGTTGTTCCCCTTCCCCATGTTGCCCAATTTGTTTGGTGCACGATGAATCTGTTGAACATATGTTCCTTCTGTGCCCATGGGTTGAACCAATTTGGTTTGGGGGCCCGTTGAATTATCGGGTGAATAGAGCAAATATATCGAACTTTCCTGCCTGGGTTCTTTCGTTCCTTGGGTCTGACTTGGGCTCTAAGGATGAGATTGCTAGGATCCTGATGATAGTGGCTTTTACTTGCTGGTTTATTTGGAAAACCCGGTGTAGTTTTGTTTATGATAACAGGGGAATTTATCCTAATCAAGTCATCTTGTCTATTTCGAACTCGGTGAATGGGTTTTTGGAGGCTTCTGTTGCTTCCGAGGGTCACCCTCAGAGGAATCTGTCTCGTCTTGGTCCTTCAGCTTGCTGGGGTCCCCCAGGCCATCCTTTCTTGAAGGTGAATGTGGATGCGAGTTGGGAGGCCAGTTCCAAAAGTGGTTTTGCTGGAGTGGTGATCAGGGATCATGCGGGGAAGTTTGTGGCTGCTTGTCGTGGTTTGATTGGGGCCTCTAATGTTGCTGCTGCCGAGGCAGCGGCGATCTTGCTTGGGTGCGAGCTGGCCAAAACCTTGGCGTTGGAGTGCATCATTGTGGAGTCTGACTCTAAGGAGAATATTCTCTGTTTAGCTCAGGGGTGCTCGCGGGGCAGCTGGGAGGCTTTTCCCGTTATTTCCAAGGCTTTGCGCCTAGGGGGGCTCTTTCAGGTCTGTCGCTGGGCTTGGGTTCCAAGGTCAGCCAATTTGGCGGCGCATGTATTGGCGTCGAGAAGTAATCCAGAGATGTGCGATGTGAATTGGGTTAATATCCCTCCATCTTCGTTGGTCCATGTGTTGAACAAGGATGGGTTACCTTGTCCCCATTAGTTTTTTTGTTTTTGCTGGGGAGGGGGAGACCGTGGCTTTGGGCTGGGTCTGTAGTGTTGATCCTCCTCCTCTGTTTTAGTTGTGGTTTCCTTTGTAGCTTGCTCTCGGTGAGCTTCTGGTGCGTTTTGGCTTCGGCCTTGGTTTTATTGGATGCCAGTTCTTCAAAAAAAAAAAAAAAAAAACAATAAAATGAAATTCAAAGAAATTGGATCTTATTGAGTTTTGCAAAAACAAAAAGAAGAAACTAGGTTAGAATTATGGATAAGATGATTCTTGGGTTGCGAGTTCTAGATAGTGGAGCTGGACAGCGAGAGGTTTGAAAGAGGGAGGGGGATAGAAGGGTTTTAAATTATTTAGGTATTTACGTCATTTGACATAAGGGTAAATATGTCATTAAAAATAGATTAAAGACGGGGTGGGAAAGAGGACTTTTTATGTGGGGAGGGGGAGGGGTGTGTGTGAATAACAGGACAAACAGACCAAAAGACAAGACAACCCTTGTCTTTCCCTTGTTTCTTTCCTTGTTTCTTTCCTTATTTTGCCATTTTTTTGCCCTTCTCTTCCCATTTTGCCACACCACGCGCACACAGACACAGCTCGAAAGAAAAGAAAGAAATAATAATGTGAAAACAAGAAAAAGAAAAAACACAGATCGTCAACTGCCAATGCCATGGTTCATCTCCTTCCTCTCTCCTCTCCTTTATCCATCACTCTCTACTTCTTTGCGTGGTTACAAGCTTTCTTGGTCGTCCATGGCAATAGTAATCTCACCCACCCTTCTCTCACCCCTATCAACCGCGATCTCTATCACTCCAGGTAACCTCTATTTTCTTTATCCAACATTTATTTCTTTACTGTTTTCCAATCGTTTTGCACTAACCTTGTATTTTGCCTGATTAATCTCATCAGGCTTCTACGGACTTCTGCTGAATTGATAGTTACTGATTCATTTATTTTTGTTTAAATCTTGTGATGGGCTTTCTGTTTCTTTCTGTAATTTCTTGTTTCCCGGCTCTATGGTTGGTTAGGTTGGTCAGAAATTGTAGCGAATCTTGGCTATTCCCTCCCTTACCTTTCAATTATTTGCCTTACTTGATGATGTGAACTTGTTATGAATTCCTCAGGCAATTTAATTTTAACCACGAAAACATAATCTACAATTAATGTATAACATCAAAGTTTTCCTTTTTATTGGTCTGCAGTGGGGATTTGATGGAAGAAATTAAAGCTCTCGTCTTTCGGCACCCAGAGGAGCTCACTGTAGGTTTCCTTTGCCTTCTATCATTTTTTTCCCTTTGAAATTCATTTCATGTTCTAATTGATGCTAATGACAGTTGGATACAATTAAATCTCAAAACAAGGGCTACTCTGCTGAGATCGCAATAGTTACCTATAGTCGGAGAAGTCAAGAGACTGATGACCAGCCAAAATTTCGGATCCTTCTTGTATGTTTTTTTCATGTATTTTTATAAGCTCGATTTGTTCTGACTATATTTTGCATAGCGGGCTGGCTGTCTATAGTCATAGATAATCTCAGATTGGTAATGGCTGGTGTTTTTGACAGATGATTCCTTGTCTTCCAGAGTTTTGGGCAGCATGGAAGGGAGCTTATTACATCCGAGCTTGCATTGCGAATCCTATCAATCTGTAGTAAAGAACAGTTTCTACCCAACCTGGACCCAGCCTCCTTAGACAGTACCCTGGACAAGCTCTTGATAAAGGTGACATCTTTGTAATGTGCTGCAATTGTTAGCTATCTCTTTGGAGATAACTTTAAGAAGTTGGTATTTTTTGAGTACTGATATCTAATTTTATTTCAGGTGGTTCCAATAGAAAACTTAAATGGCCGTAAACTTGTTGAAGCAGGAGACCTCTGTGAGAGAAGAAATGGTAAAGCAATTGGTTTTCTGGGATCTAAAATATATACGCACCCACGTGCACACACACACACACGCACATACAACATTATAAATAGAATTCCCTGTCAATCAAATGCTCGCCTATTATATGAAAGAACACTAATAAGAGATATTTTCATGGATAGCAATAGTAAAATGCCCCAGCATGTGTGGTAATTCTTCAAGATTTTATGTCTGTATGTGTGCATGAATCCTTGATTTATTTATCACATCTTATAAAGATTGTTAAATGCTTAAATTTGCATACTGGACAGGGAGGGGAGTTGATCTCAACCGTAATTGGAGCGTAGATTGGGGCAAAAAAGAGAAGGTTAATCATACTATACTGCATTATCTTTTGAGTGTATTGATTAAGATGTCTTCTTCAGATGGATGTTCTTTAAGATTATAAAGCACTGCACTTAATATATAACCCACCGTTAGATGATGATGTAGTTTCAGTTATTGTTTCCTGCTTCCTCTCCTTAACTTCAGTATTCAACTGTCATTCCATTTCTTCTTTTTTGTGCTTAAGACTATTCTTTTGCTTTTATTTTGTATTTCTATCCCAGGATTATGATCCATATGAGGAAAATCCTGGAACTGCTCCTTTCAGCGAGCCTGAAACTCAGATAATACGGAAAGTTGCCGTGTCATTTGATCCACACATCTGGATTAATATACACTCTGGGATGGAGGTAGGTCACATAAACTTTCAATTAGTATTCCCTCATGTTGACTCTGAAGTCATATCAACCATTTTTGAAGTTAACGATTGATGCAATTCTGTTTTACCAAATGCAATATCACCCTATGATTTGCCACTTTATACTGTTTTTTTTTTTTTTTTTTTTTTTTTTTTTTTTTTTTTTTTTTCCAATTACCATTGAAGTGTCACAGTGATTCTCAATTTTATGTTTCATTTAAACTTAGGGTTGTGTACTCTGCATATGACATTTCTTATATAGATTCGGGTTTGTTCAGGCTCTGTTTATGCCGTATGACCATAAGAACACAACCCCAGATGGAGTTTCCTCCCACCAGATGAAGTCATTGCTTGAAGAACTCAACCAACTGCACTGCCAAAAGCGTTGCATGGTTGGGTCTGGTGGAGGTTCTGTTGGGTTAGCATTACTAGCAGTCGTTATTGTATTGTTCAGTTGATTGTTACTATTGTTATCTGAAATTTTAAGATCAGCCTCTATACTTTTGTAACCATCTTTTGTGGTGGTAGCTGGACTGCAAGGCTAAGCCCTGCTGGGTTTGAAATTTTAAGTGGTTTATTTGGATAAATAAACTTTACCACCACCCCTCCCCCCACATCTCTCCTCGAATTGTGAGCCAAAGTTTATAGGTTTCGATGCTTACTCTTTTAAAATGGTTTTTATATGTTTTTTCATCAAGGTTTATTTCTAGGTACCTGGCACATGGGACAGCAACTGATTTTATGTTCGACATTGTAAGGGTGCCAATGGCTTTCACCTTTGAGGTTTGTCAAGTTATCCCTCATTTTTTCCTTCAAATTTCTGATCAAAAAGTAACCTGGACCTAGACAAATTTGCATCCTTTTTGTTGTGACTCAGATATATGGAGATGGAGCGGCCTCATCAAGAGATTGCTTCAAAATGTTTAATCCCACTGACTTCGTTACCTTCAATGTATGTCAGTTTTTTGGTCATCTTTTAAGTTTCAGCATGTATAGAGGCAACAGTCAATGAAAACAGTGTAAATCTTTTTCGTTTCAGAGAGTTCTCAATGAATGGTCTGCTGCATTTTTCACAATTTTTAAATTGGGGCCAGACCAGCTTGGTGAAAATTATTCAAGGCATCTGTGCCCACCTTATTAGACAAGTGGGTATCCATAGATGAGTATCTTGAAGGTTATTTAGTCGAGAGGAGTAGTAGATATGGAAAGAAGATGGAGGTGCTTGAACTAGGAATGCAGGAGATAAGAACATATTTCAGGCTCTTCTTGTTATCTTCTGTTCTGTTAATGTTCATGTTCTGTTCCAGAATTACAAAAAGCAAGTGTGCTAGACCAATTGTTTCTGCTATTGCAATCTGATATTGAGAAACAACTCCATGTTAGAGGCTTCATGCTGCACTGTATTGATCGACATGTTGTTCCGCACATTTCCTCCACGTCTCCTTTGATTTTCAATACCGATTGTGAAACACCATGAGCAGCAAGAAGTTGAGGTCCATAATTTGAAGTGAATTTTTTTTTATATTTCAAGTTCCTAGTTTTCATGGGAAAAAGGAGAAGCAAAAATAAGAAATATCATAGCGGGGTGGGGTGGGGTGCATGCCAAATTTTTTAGAAAGGATGTCTCTTTAAGTTAAATTTTTTATTTTTTACCCACGATACGAACAATTGTTAAACCCATAGAGTGTGATTGTTTTATTTGTAATATTCAAAATATTCTTTCAATTTAAGTGATCATTTATTTGCTTGGATTGAATGTATGCTTGCATTTTACTCGAATCTCTGAACAGTTAATCGTTGTTCTTGATCACACCCTTGAATAACCAAGAGTTGATGTGACCACAGTGGCCTAACGCCTAACATATGCATATTCGTTTGCATACTTCCTTTTGAAATATGAACAAAAACACATACAATTTAGTTTTATAATTACATTTACTTTATGATGAAAAACAATCGGACAAATTTTTACAAGATACAAGCAATGAATCACATTTTATCTGGTGCAGCGGTGCATATGGAAGACAATTACAACCGAAAATTTGAGTGAGGTAATGGTAATGGAAATGGTGATGGGGGTGTATTTCTTCAGCTGTTCTTGTGTTTGTCACTAGGGTGTGCTGTGCTCAGTGTCATTGTTCCCAAACTCTGGAACACAATTTCCCTTGATGTTGGATACTCTTGCACGATGGCCAGTATGACTCGTCGTTCCTGCAAAATGATCAGACTGTCAAAGATGGTGATTTACAGCCATCGGAGTCTGGAGATGCTGGCATGTGTGAAACTTATGACTAGTATAAAGATCAATGGGTTTGGCCTTAATCTTCATATCATACCTGACTAGACCAAACATAGCAGGTGAACACATTTAACTGTGGCTGGATGACTCAAATCATGTCATTTAGGATCTGAGTGTCTGTTTCATGTATTTCAGCGCAGACCTTAACATAGCCCTAGCTTTCCTATCTGGAGTGCAACCAGACATAATCATTTCTTCATACACTGCTGGAATCTGAAACCAAAAACATGCAACTTGTACATTCGAATGAAACTTATAAGCTGAAGGTCTGTTATGCATGCAACGACAATGCAAAGGTTATCTATGATAATATATGAAATTCATACCTTATAAAATTTATCAACACGGATAAGGGTTTTCATAAGTGTGGTATACGTAACTACATCTGGTTTCAGGTCCTGCAGTTACAAAGAAACAAGATCAATTGTTGTACCAATCTGTGCAGTAACAGTAATTATGACAACATTAGAAATAACTTACATTTTCCTTCATGTACTGCAACACAGAAAAGGCCTCAGTATCCCTTCTATCTTCACCAAATGCATTGATTAACGAATTGAGAGCCAAGGGACTGGGTTCTAATCCATCTGCTCTCATTACCTTAAACGCGTTCAGTGCTTGCTCCGACAAACCCTGTCAAACACTCACATGGAAGATCAAATGGATGTTCAACCATCACACTCACGGTAAGAATCTTATCCAATTCACTATCAGGGATCCAAACACAAAGATAAAACTGGTAGTCTGAAGCAAGAAGAATAGCCTTCTGGTTGATATCTGTCTATAGCTTCAGCAATCGGAAATAAATACACACACACACACACACACATTAACATTAGTGTTGATAAGACAACTTACTCTTTGTGCATGGGCATTAATTAAGGCATTGTACATTGCCGGGGATGGTTTCATGCCTGCAGACTTCATAACCTCCAAACACTCTATTGCATCAGTAAATCTCCCCGACTTTCCATGAATGTCAACCAATGTGGTATACGTAACTATGTTGGGCAGTAAACCCTGAGCCTGCATCTTCCCCAACAAGCCTTTCACATCATCCCACCTTTGCTGCTCCCCAAAGGAATTGATCATGATGTTATAGGTGGTGGCGCAAGGGGCACACCCACTTTGCTGCATTTCCTCAAACAGCTCCTCTGCCCTTACATGGCGGCTTGACTTGCAATGACAATCTATAAGCGTATTCCAGGTGATGGTGTCCGGGTGGATTCCCTCAGATAGCATCCTTTCAAGGGTAGCCATAGCATGATCAAGACAATTGGACTTTCCAAAAGTGTCAATCATGACATTGTAAAAATGCCTATCGGGTCTTACTCCACTGCTCTTCATCTCCCTCAAAACTTGGAACGACTTTTGCCACTCCCCTCTATCGCGGTAGCTGGCTAAAATCCTGCTGAAAACATAAGAATTGGTCTGCACATTGCCAGATTCCATCTCTTTCAACACAATTCTTGTGCTTTCCCACCTGCCCGCATTCGCGTAGGCATCAATGAGCAGGCTGTAAGTGTGCTCATCGGGGGAAATGCCGCTATTGTCAATATTTTTCTTTCATCAGTTGTGTCAAAATTTATTGTTTTATTTATATTTTTTTTTTTTAAATGATAAAAGTTGGGTTATTGTTAATTTAAAAATAATAAAATAATACTTAAATATGCTAGCTTTTAAGGTAAGGCAAGTGGAATGACTTGAGGGTTGAGACTCCCTTCCTTGCTAGCCACCGACATCGGCATCGGCTAGGGTTTCTCTGCTGTAACAATCTCCATGGGGGGTTCACGAGCGTCACTTCCTCCGAACTAAGCAGCATCATCTCTCTCCACAAAACTTGAGGAGATGGTAATTGATCTTCACGACTAATAAGTCTACTGTAGTCTCTAGTCTAACAGGATTGACATTTGTAATTTCTTTGAAATGAAACTCTAGTAAGTCAATGAAACTCTAATTTCTTTAATATTGATTTTTGTTTAGCACATATATTAATGGCATAGATTTGATGATCTTTATTTCACTAATTAATGTCAGGGACCCGGATGAGGAACAGAGTTGCCTTCTGCCTACAGCCTGTCTATGGTGTTCTGATGGCAACAGAAAGAGGACTAGGGTTTAAAGAAACAAAAGCAAGGAAGTGAGGATCATGCTCTAATAAAGCCATGTCTTGCTCATCTAGATAAAGTGAGCCCTCTAGTCCCATCTCCTTGTAGGCTTTGTACAAAATCACCATCAAGTTTGCTTATTGCTTCCCTCACATGCTTCGCCAACTTACCCAACTCATGATCACGATCATCATCCACATGAGCTAAGTTGTCCTCCTTTTGATAATCATCTTCTGTACTGCAATGTGATAGCGCGGCTGCCATGGACAGAAAATTTCCCATAGTGTATTCGGAAAATGGTGGCACAGCTCTTCGACGCAAATTCACAGCGTGTGTTATCAGAGTTGTCCGGTTCTGAACAATATTAGGTTTGGCCTTCAAGTTAAGGGCAGCCATAATGTTCTTCCAGATGAGTGCCGCGACAACCTCCACACGCGTTGGATTTGGCACCCTTGAGCTGGCTGCTTTTCTCTTGAGTGTGGCCAGAGCAGGAGTATCAAATACAATTCTCCTTGTAACACAGTTTCCCACTTTCAGGAAGCGGTAGTGCAAAGCCATCATCGCTTCTCTTGGGTTTGCATCATTTTGGGGAAACAAAATGGTGCATCAAACTTACCCTTTGTATAAATATAATGAGTATTAGGAGTCGCTATGTAGCGAAATGTTGCGGCAGCCCAAGCTTTGAGGAAGGCGCTCAATGCGGTTCCATCAACAACCATTTGTGAGATAAAGGCACCCAGAACGAAACCGCCGCATGCAAAGTTGGTGATTTGCATCATAGCTACATGAGCTCCGGGAGCTGCTTCGTGCCAACTAGCCTCACCGGGAAGGAACTGACTGATGAAGGAGGGATCAGGATGGTTGAGAAACTGGGAGAGATTGGAGTCAACCTCGGCCTCTACGTAACGAGCCCCCAATCAATAGAAAGACTCTCTCTAATTCTACCGGCAAGTGGGTGAAAGTGAGTCAAGGTTTCTGAGAGGGATTGCTTTAGCAGTTGTGACCTCATTGGAGTAGTAATATTAATATTAATGGGGTGAATGGAGGAGGAGGGGTGAAAGAAGAGGATCATGGGTACATAGACGGAGGGAATGAACTGGTCCAAGAGGGAGAGCTTGTGGGTTCTCAGGTGTTGGGGTGTTGGGGAAGAGGGTTTGATGCACTCATCGGAAATTATCTTGACTTGCATCATGGACGTCAACATCTTGATTAGCTCAATTAGCTAGGTAGGTGATAGATGATTCAGTTCCTGATGACTGATGATATTATATATGTAACACTAGCTAGCCAGGTGAGCTAGTGATTTCCTCTATTAATGGTCAAGGATTTCAACATCTGATTTCATCATCCGTCTGGATCTCTTTTGGGATTTTCTCTACTAGGACTAGGATGTACTGTGCTCGACTTTAATATTCTATTAATTGCTAAGGATTTTATGATTAATCCGGATTCTGTGCTAGGATTTCCAATTTCCTCTACTAAGATGTGCCAAGTCTATTAATTAATTATTAAGATTTTCATGTTCTTAACCAACAAAAGTAACAAATCACTTTGCGAAATAAAATAAAAAAGATTTCTTGACTACTGTAACAAAAAAAAAAAAAAAAGATCCTCAAATTGTGTCCCTTTATCATACATCGTGCGGTCAGTTTTTGTCAAGTATTGTTCATATTTAATTTTAAATAAAAGTATTTAAAATAATTTCTAATCGTATGATGTACGATGAACGAACACGATTTGAGTATCTCCAGAATCCTCACAAAAAGGAAAAGGATTTCACAGTCCCTTCCGAGACATCCGATAGAAATTATAGACTAACAGATGAATATCAAAAATAGAGACCGGAAGAATTTGTAAAAAGGAAAACCTCTGAAAAAAAATGATAAAAGAAATAGTAAGGCAAAGGAAAAAAAAGAAAAAAGGCGCAGGCTTGGGCCTCTTTATCGGGCTGTTTGGATTGGATCACACAGGGTTCGCAGTTGGGACTTGGCAGTTGGGCCTTTTCATTGCTAAAAAGGAAAGAATTGTAATTTGGAGTTTCTTGCTAAAAGTAAAGGATCCCGGGCCGCCTCCTAATTCATCGCTCAAATTTTTTTCTATCCTACTTCCATTCCTGCTTGCATCTCTTTGGAACCCTCAGTTTCGTCCACATTCTAAGGAACACATACCAGTAGCTCAACTAGGACCACCAGCATTCTAGATCCCCTCTCATAAACCTTCACGCCTATTTTGTAATTCTTTCCGGAGTAATTAAACATTTTCTCCCGGAGGCAATTCTGCGAGCTTCGGAGGAGTCCAAGTACTCGTTCCATATCAAAACGAACTTCGATATTGCGAATCCTGTATTCAACAACCATCAGCCAATACAGCAGCTTCGCAAATTCCCATGCAGTTGTCTCTTTTACTCTTGTCTGTACCAACACATACCAGTTGTTGATCCTTTTATTTTTATTTTTATTTTTTTGGAAAATACTTCCATTACAGGAAGGATTGCCCGAAACTTAAACCGCAAGTTAAGGACGGCTCATTCCAGAGGCAAACCTTCATTTGGCGAGGATCAGAAACAGCCAAAAGCCGCTTGATGAATGTATTCATCGCAACCACAACATCGTCTCCAGCACTGCTCGTCAGTTACTTCGAATTTGAAGACATTTAACCAAGGGTCAAAGAGAGATTTATGGACCTTTATAAATAAATCTACTAATTTCAGAAGCAATAATGACTAACTATGATTGTTTTTCTCGTTTGAAAGAATCACAGTAGTACAATTCACACATTAGATAGCTACAATATGTTGTGGATGATGGCGCAGCCAACTAGTAAGATCTTTTCAACCTAAAAATTTACCTCAGACAATAACAGTAATAAATTAATAATAGTAGTGTGGGTCTTGAGATGTTCTAACAAAAAGCACTTAGAATTTAGTCATAAGCCTACCATGCTCAGCTGCCAGCCACGAACCTAAACATTTAGCCAACCGAAAGTAGTTGGGATAAGCGGACGGGATGTTGTTTACCTTTAAATTTTGGGGTTCAAGAGACTTGAGATATTCCAACAATTCATTTTGTCCGCCCGAGGATTTCCTACCAACTTGGTTATTTAGTTACTCAATCTCTGCTTCAAGTAACTCAATGTACTTCTTAGCATCTATTCTCTCAGGGCCAGAAACATTATTCCACCTAATAACTTCACCTGACACGTTCTTCTGTGTACCAGGTGCATAATCTGGTGCATCCTGTAACAGTCACTGGGCACCATTTAAAGTTTGTACGGCAGAACCTCTCATAAACTAAAATAGAAAGATTGAAAAAAGTCCTCTAAACGACTATGAAAAATGTATCAGAAACATCTGAATAGTGAATGTCACAAACTCTGCATATTACTAAGGAGAAGCAGGAGTTTGCATGTTAATAACGCAGGGGTCAGATGACTGAACTTGCCATCAGGGCCTAATTTCAGTGCCATCAATAAAACACAATAACAAATAAATGGTAAGCCAAAGCCTTCAAAAACAAGGTATGGTTTTTCTTCGGTAAATGGTAATGTAGTAAAAGGTTTCCTCAACGGCCAAAAGGATGAGTATGGTTCATAAATAGAACTTGAAAAAAAATGAGAAAAATATTACCTTCTTATCTTGCACATCAGGAAGAGCAGCTGGCTGCTCTAAACCTTGCTGAAGTTCCAACCTGTACTGTGCATTCTGAAACATATATCCCGTCATCATGATACTGTACATGAGTTGTGCAAGATTTTCTGCGACCTGAGATGGAAGTCAACCAATCCCACTGAGTACATAAATTCCTTAAATGCAACAACTCAGAAAACATGCACATGGAATTTGCATCAGTTTAAATCAGTCAGCCACCCAAATTCCAACATAAGGAACCCATCAGATAAGATGTTACTATACTCAAGCTGCTATGGTGACGAAAAGAAAGAATAATAGTTATAGACTTACGGGGGTTAGTGTCACTGCAAAAAATTGTGGGGGTAATGTTCCAATCATATTTGTCACTGTTTGGCGCATTGCACCAACAACCTACATGAGTAAGCGTGAAAAGTGTTGTCAATTCAGTGAGAAGGCATGGAAATTGCATAAGTAATAGTAATAAACCCTCATTGACATTAAGATGGTATGCACTAATGGCAAATAAACATATAAAATACCTCCCTTTTACAAACAGCTCCATGAATTCTGGCTGCACATTTTTTACATACTCCAACAGAATTTCTCTCCTGCTCTTTGGCTGTCGAGTTGAAGAAAGTAGCCAGCAACAGCAAGTAGTTCAGTCAATGATATGAGCTAGCTAGTAAAACAATCATCTATGTGTTTCAACTAAATATTTGGCGATGAGTGATGAGCATCATCACCAATTCAGCGTAATGAGTAAAAACATTTTTCATGAAAAATCATGTAAACTGATTATTACCACACTTCTAAGTGTGCATTTGGTGCACCAGACAAATGAGAGCACACTTAACTAGCTTTAAAGACCTAACGAGATCAAACAAACGCGCCCTAAATGTTTATTTCAGATGTGGCACGAAGTAGAGTGTCAGCAACAAAACTGTTTCGTCTCGTCTGGAACGGTGGGCTATAGCATGAGAAGTGTTTTGAGTTTTTTAACATTAAAAATACTAATTAGTTGGGCTACTGTATCACTTTTTATTACCCTAATCCATTTAACTAATGAAAAACCTGAAGAGAAATATTTAGGAGACTCTCTCAAAAATGTAATTTTTCATAGCCTAAAGTGGAAACCAAAATAGAATACTTGCAGTAAGAAACCACAGGCAACAAGCACAGGCAAGCACACCAACACCAATTCCTGTAGAGAGTGGGAGAGAGTATCGAAGAGGGAAATTGTCGAAGGAATGATTGAGGCACTGAAGGGTTTTTTCTAGGGAAAATTAGAATTTCG